AATCTCCAATTATTTTATGTTAAGATTAAAAGAATATTCTTCATATATCGGATTTAGGATCCTCTTGCTAAATTTAAAAACACATACATAGTAATCACGGGAAATTAGTTACATTGATATACAATACTGAGTATTTAGTAGTACAAAAGAACTCAGACATTCTTTTTTGCTTTGTCTGTTTCACTCCAACATGTTTTTTCCTTGTTCTGTTATTCTCAAGAGCTTATATTGTCTAGCGGCCTGATATGACTTTCGAATCTGCATTCCTTCGGAATATAACTGGAAATCAGATTAAACAATTTTTATCTATCCTGGCCCTATTTTTAAGTAAAAGAAATAAAACTTGTTGCTTTTTGTGAGATGCCCCCGAATTCCCTGGTACGGCTGAGAGTGGGGAGAGTCCGCTCTCCCTCTCGAAATGCTCTCACATGGCTACGCGTATATAGTCTTTGCCAGGGAAGTCCTACTCACTGCCTTCTCGTGGCAGGGGTGTTGTTTGCGAAATCGAGATGGCGAAAAGCGAATTTCCGGCGCTTTAACGGGGTTAGTGGACTCCATCTAGGGGAGTTGAAAAACCCTGATTCCAAACCAGTGGGTCACATGGGCCCCAGTACCCTGAGGGAACAAATGGCGTATGAACCAATCGTTAGTCACCGGCTACCATGGGACTGCATCTCCTTACGATGCTCCACTGCCTTGTGGATCAGACCTTTAGGTCGAAGGTTCCAGGTGTGCCCCCCCCCAAGAAAACTACCTGCTCCAGTCTGGGCACCCGGGCAGTATCACAGCCCTCACACAAATCAAATGAGATTTGTGTGGCGCATATGTATCTGGTGCCTCCTTTTACCAGAATTTATGTGTTCAAATCAATTTGGTAAGATGAGTATTTCGATCACCGTCAATACGAGAGGATTGTTTTCTAGTAGGTAATAAACATGCTTTTAAGTGCCTACTTTACAAGTTGTATTTCATTCACTGTAAAAAATTTAACCAGGAACTATTAGGTTATTAATTAACAAAGACTGAGTGTATATTCAACTCAGTCTAATTTATCGCTTTAACAATATTTGCATTTACAAAATTTGCTGGGCTATGTGACGGTGCTATACCAATTTCTCTCTGTATTAAAATGGTAAGCAACAATTTATCGAATGTATGAATCAGCTACGTGAAAGTCCTTCATGTTAAACTCACTAAATGAGGTCAAACGTTTTTCACTAAACTACCACCTAGAGTGCTTATTTTCATATGACATTTATTCCTAGGATGTCAACTATAAACTGGAAATTAAACTATCAAGTAGAATAGACAATTTTAAACCCCAAGTTACTTAACAACAAAGTATTTCTTATTGTAATATCGAAAATACTCAGTATGAATCTCGGCCAACTAATGATTATCTATATTCTTACATTAAAGGTCGACCCTCTAATTTTCACGTCTTAAATAAATCAACCCAATCATAAGTCAGCGAAAATCGAAGCAATCTCCTAACACGTATTATGCATAATTATTACTCTTCGTTCATTGATCATATTGAATTATGGGTCTCCAGTTTATTGTCAACTATCAGGTTCGCCTAATTTTTATCAACAATGTTTCTAAATCAATATACAACTTGACAAGTGAGGTTACAATAGTGATAATCATTATCCGATTTGGGGTTTTGTGGCGATTGTAGTAAGTTAATAATTGAATTCATGAGTCGAATAAAGCCAGACCGCCTCTACGACAGACACGGTTGGACTAACACCGTTGAATGACGGCTCAGTGGTTTAAAGGTTTAGCGTTCCCGTTTGGAGGTCGTGGACGCGAGCTGCTGAGTCCCATACTAGGTTTTCCATGGTGGTCTAGCCTTAATTGACTCATGAATTCAACTACTAAATGATAATTATACCAGACATCAAAGCCTTTCATCATATGATATTTGATTATTGATAGCCACATTATCGATGAACGATTGGTGATTTTCTACCTGCAACATAGCTTCTTGATTGGTTAACTAAAATAACCTTGTGACACATTTAATGTAAAACAAGTCTTTGTTCTATAACTAAAACGTACATTTTAAACGTCTCGCGTTCATAAACTAGTGTGTGGTTAGTATTTTGCAATGTGTGACGATAATGGTGAAACAGTCTGAACAGTTTCTGAAATAAATATCCGAAATTGTAAACATTGATTTTGGCTGGATAACTTAAGTATGAATACATGTTTTTTGTTTTACTATTTGTTGTTTTTTACTATTCCAACCATACGATCTAGGTTATAAACGATTGGTTTGTAAAATAAAGAATTAAACATATACAATCAAAACTCACAATAAAACACTAACATGTCACAAAAATGTTGAGAATTATAATATCAAAGTAACAAACATATCACACTGTATGAAAATGGTATTAGTTTCATAAAAAATTTCGTACTTCAACTATGCTTCTTATCATCAGACATAAAATTTCAGAAGAGTAAAATATAACTGCCTCGAATTGTCAGCTTTACTAAATTAATTTTATGAATGATTTCCAAGATTAAAAAATCCTTCACGGAACGTCTCGAATGCAGAACTATCCTAATTGATTTAATAGTTTTATAGAAAATTTGTCATTTTTTAGAATGTTATACTAAGTGGTGAAATGAATCACTGATCGTTTTATACTGTATTCTGTAAATGCAAATTTGATGGGTTTATTGAAACAAAAAATTTGAATGCATAATAATAAGTACTGAGCTCTTGCGTAAAATATATACATTAGTGAACACAAACATGTTACATATCTGATTGTTTGAAATAGTAGTTATATAAGAACAATTCTATAATGGAAGGCGACAACTGAACATGATATTCAGATTTCGAATTCATGGCTTAATGAGTGACCAACAAAACTCGTATCTTACAATTACCTATGTTGTAACTTATAACCATCTTTATTTTAGTGATTAGAATTTGACATACATTTATGTCATTAAAAATAAACGAGTGATTGCTATACATCTTGATGCCCATTCATGTGGGTTTATCGCATCAATAAGTCTGTTTTCATGAGCAATCACAATCAACTCAGCCGATCGATCGCATATTTAGAACGGAAAATGTCCCTTCATTATCGAAAAGTCCAGTTTGTTACTAAGGCTCTAATTTTCCTTGTTTATATATATGCTAATACTACCGAAATGCTCATCATTGCAAGCAGAAAAATATGGAAAGTGATTGAAACTACAATCTAAAGCCAAAGTTCCCAAAGATTAGTTATTTAGTTTGATCCTATGCTGAGTTTTGAAATTGATAGTGCCTATATTCATTAATATCATAAAGGCTATAGACGGTCCTCATTATCCCGAAATGTCAAAATCATCGTTTGACTCTATGAGTAGCTGGATACCAATTTAACAGATATTTAGCACTTAAGAGCTTATCGACATTAGTGTAGGCAAACTTTACAACCGAAGATCATCTACGGTGGAATATAATAAAAGTGATGTCATCTTTAAAAATACAACATGAAAAAATGTACTACTTGTAGGTAGTATATCAAATAGTATACCAATTTCTAAGAATATCTATTGCAATAAAAGGATACCTGTCGTCAGGGCTATTTCCCTTCATGATGAAAACTGTTTGATCTATCTTAAACTACATTCTACTCTTGTTATTTGCATAATAAGACAATTAAAATCACTGTGGAGCCTGGTACAAAATTAATTTCGCCCAAGTTGCCATACAACAATAGTACAACGAGATGAATTTAAGAAGACGTGGATCTGAATCCACCATCAGTCCTCTCAAGATTAAAGGCATACTTTTCTGAAGAGCACCAATTAGCACAAAGTCAGAAAATTATTGCATCTGCACCACGATTACTGATTTTGAGCGATTACATAAAACATCTCCAGCATATATCAGACCAACAGTCAGTGTGTTTTATAAGTAAGATAATTGAAATGTTTTTGTTACAATAATTAAAGGTAACAGAAGGGTTAAAACTAAGTGATATCAGAAACAATTATGGATAAAACCATGAGGATATGAGACATTATTGACGAGAGGGATATTTTCAAATACGAAATAAAGTAATATTAAAGTCAAGGTAACGATAAGACGTACTTATTTTTGTACGCACAAGAGTAAGAGGAAAGTAGTTAGAAGTTTCATTCTTGAACATTTAATTGACCCTTATTACTCTACTGGTCCACAGGTTGATTTGAATGTTGTTTGTAAAATTCGTCCGAACCTACCTAGATCTCTTTGTATCAAACTCCTCAAAACAGAAGTAACTCTTGCCATTCATAAGTTGAAGCCAGAACTGAACGTACAAAATAAATATGTCTTTATTATCATTACCTTGGCCTTAAACTATTACTATTATTATTTTATTTTGCACTTGAAAATATTCCCCTCTCTCGTTAATTATGTTTCATATCCTCATAATTTTGTTCACAATGGTTTCTGATATCACTTCAGTTCATTTTTAACCCGCTACTCCCTCTAATGTGGTTTATAAAAAAACAGAGAAAAATATAGTCAAGCAAAAAAACTAAGTTGAGCATTATCATATATACATTAAGTTGGTTTACGGAAAAAATCTCAAACAAAACGATATATACGAATATATTACTTACATACTAACAATATATTGTATTATCATATTGTTTTTAGGAGCATATACAGTGAAATTACATTTTTGAAAAAGAAGATGATTGCTACATAAACGTAGAAATTTTCGGAAACAAAAATAATAATAATTAAGGATTATGAATCGATTGTCATTTCTGTCCCTCACATATATTATATATGACATACAAATGAAGTTATCATAAACAAATTACTTTTTATGTATAAAATTTAGGTTTATAAACTCTACACATAATTTATCACATACTGACTAGTTGTCTATACGAATATTCGTCAATATTAGAACGAATAGTTTGACAAAAATTAAGCACCGAGTTGTGTGTTCGTTAAAAAAATAACATCTATACTAATTAAATGAATGGACAATTCAGTCTAGCTCAGAATCTTCAGTTTCCTCGATTACAGATTGCTTTGGGGGGAACAAAGAAAAAACATAAACAAAGAAAGAGTGAATTTTGTTTAGATGAAATACAACAGAATATTATACTTTCTGTCTATTAAATGGTTTTCTTTAAACAAAACTGAATTCACATTCAAAAATATGGATTGTCTTAAAACTAACTTACATCGAAGATCCAAACAACAAGTACAACCAATTTTCTTAAAAAATACAAATGCTGAAAACTTATTTCAATAATTTATAATGATGTTATTTGTATCATCAGGTGAATGGAATAGTAGACAATGGCAGGTTAACATCTTTTTGACTAGTGTAATAAGATTGTGGTTATCAGGATTAGGTGCTGTATATTAGATGAGTTAAACTTTACTCCATTGCACAAGTTGGTGGCTATCTGGACTCAGCAGCTAAGTGAATAACGCAAGGGCGTTCGAAGTGAACGGTACTAGGTTCGAGATCCGGAGTAAATATCCAGCTGACGAGTCCCAGACAGGCAAAATGCGCGTCCTGAATCCCACTTCTAGTCATCATCCACCTTTGCTTATCAAGGGACTGTATTAAATTTTTAACATTTTTTTACTAAAACATCTTTAAATAAAACGGTGGTAACTGCTCTTTGTTTCTACCCTAACTTTGTAGTTATACAAGATTGATTTCAAGAAATTCCAATTGGACGTAGTGATATGTAGTCAAATATGTTGAGAATGAGTGTTACATATCGATAACAGAATGAATATTGCATTATATCTTTCTACTATCCAATTAGTCCTGTTTTAGTCTTTAACAACTTTCAGTTGTTTTTATTGTCATTTGTTAAACAAACGAAATATCTACTTTTTTTGTAAAGGCAGTACATAATATTTGTTTACATTCTTTCGAAATTAATAAAAACTCACCCAACCACCACGTTTATATACCCAATCTGCATACCAACGTGTAAAAAAAGTAATTGTATAATCTTTGATTCGGCCTATATTTGCTCGACATTGGCCAGTATCACGAATTATTGTTTCATATGTTGAATTTGATGGATAAAAATTACTTGGAGGTGATTTACTTGATGCATGATAAGTATGAATAAAGATTTCAGAAAAAAAAACAAAGAAAGGAATAACTATGAAATGGATAACAACTTAATATGGTAAGCCAACAAGAAGTAGCCCAATGAGAAGGTCAGTTGATGGCAATCAGAAGTGACCTAAAAATAAAGTGCATGTTATTAGCTAAGAAATGGATCAGCTTCCAAAGTTTTAAAGTGGTATAAATATAAATGAGTATTTACGCACTTTATTCGGTAGCGCAATATACTTTCTTACTCTTGTGTTCTCGTTCAAGTAGTCAGTTGGGGGGTTAGCGCATAGCACACTGTGTATCAGTATCAGATTTTGAACACCGCTCGTCACAACACAAATATTCTTCAGTTTATTATTATAAAAGTTGGTGTTTCCATAATTACAAATAGAAGCTGAGAATCTATTACTCTTGATGTATTGCTGTTCACGATTTCACTTTTCTTGATAAGAACAATGTACATAGATGATATTCAATTACTCTTGTTTTCCTTCTGTGAAACATAAGTAATAGTTTAAATACAAGTTATAGTGACTCATCATGTATTAAAACCACCAAGCAGTACATTAAATCAACCGATATTACTCTACATTGAAAATACAAAAGACATCTACATAACGGAGTCACTTTCTCATAAACATCTAGCGCATCAAAAGCTGTGTAGCGTGGCGTCGAGTTGAGATTAACTATGAACACCGCTACCAAGAAGCTCGTTCCAAATGACTCCATAAAATACCCGAAAAGCCAAATATCAGAAGGCAATTAATGGACCAAGTCGATGTTTATTTGCTGGCGATCTCGTGGCATCGAAAGGATACCGAGATCGTGCCAGGATACAACCTTGGATACAGAAGGTAACCGAATTCGTGCGAAGTTACAATCGAAGTGTAAGAACAAGAATGAAAGCACGATATAGCTGTCATTAGCACAGTCAAACAAAAGCACATTAAAACGAACACTGTTACATTTGGTTATAATAATAATTGTTTTTATTAAACCAGTCGTGTCCTCGTGATAAATGTAAGTCACTACAGATGCATCACTTAGTAACCAAGTTGCATGGTGTATTCAACCTCAATACATCAACTCAAATATCCTCGTTGAAAGATCACTGTTTATTGAAAATTACGGAGCGATACAAATTATTTGTACGGTAGTACCTTAAAGCAGCGAATTCCATTTTTTGATAGATAAGAAACGTATATATATATATATATATATATATATATATATATATATATATATATATATATATAAAGTCTTACGGATTGAACGCTATATTCGTTTCTTAAGCTATTCTGTAACCCTCAAGCTAGAACTATACAGTGACCTCAACAATGAGAGAGCGGACTCAAAATATTCGAGAAGTACTTTACTCCAAGGTTCATTTCAATACAGAAAATACAGGGTTTTATGATATTTCAAATGTCCTTGGGTTGCTAGAAGATTCTGGAATGCTACTAAACATAGTAGAAGTGTAGCAACCAACCAATCAGAACCTCTATATGTGACGTTTCACTTCTTTGATATTTTTGGCTAAAACTTCAAGTGAACACTGATTGGATGAAACGCATCTTAGTGTTTCCTGATGCTTGCTTGTCTTTTGCAAAAAATTTGCCGGACCGCCCAACATATATATATATATATATATATATATATATATATAGTCTCTGATTGGCTAATAACTTTCAACCAATGGCATCATAGTGCATGCAAAGGGCTAATCATTTTCAGGAAGATGGTTTTGCGAAGATTGTGATAATTTAGTAGTTGAATTCATTGGGCGGCTAAAGCTAGACCACCATGAAAAACCTGGAAGCACTGGGTAGCCGTTTCGTTCTAATATGGGACTCCTCAGTAGTGTGCACCCACGATCCCGCTTTAATTGATTCATAAATTCAATCATTAAATTACTAAAATTTCCACAAGACCCCTGAATCTTACAGTAGTCATCATGTGCTCACTAGTTACTGGCTTCAAGAGATATTTCCTGGAGTCCTAGTGAGAAGCAGTGACCAGTGGAGTTCAACTGTATCTGTTGTGAGGCAGTGACTCAGTGAAAACAATGGTGGACGGTGGCGCGATTTCGTGATTTGATTGAAGTTAGATATTAACACTGTTGCATACCGGCTCGATGCTCTAGAGGTTAAACGTTCGCATGCGAGACCGAAGGTCCTGGGTTAGAGTCCCGCGAGCGGGATGAAAGCCAGACAATGTGATTGAACTCTAATGGTCACTGCTTTTAACGAGAGAACTAGGAATCGCATCTCAGAATTTATCACTTATGAGTACACAATAATTACCAGTATAGCGGCTTGTAGAAATTGTTGAACTTAAAATTTTACATCACGATTGGATGCTAATATAGTGTTCTGAATATTAAGCTATCGCCACTGGACATGAACGTCCAGAGTTTGATCCTCGATGAGGTCATCGAAGTACACTGTTTGCTGCCTAATACTAGGAAGAAACAGCTGTCCAGCGCTCCCTGGTCTTCAGGGTCATTCAATCATAGGAACGTTGATATCACTTCAATCAAGCACTTATTTCGTTGGTAACATTTTGTGTATTTGATACCTAAATAATGAATCCTATTGGTAAACATGATAGCAACTACCCTTTTATATTCAGTGTTAAAGCGCAATGAAAACTAAAATCAAACCTAGAATAAAGCACTTCTCAATAATCAAACTATGAACTGCTGTTAACATACCAGTCATAGAATGATCGCTTGCGATCACCTCCCTAAATCAAATGGATAAAAACTATACACCAAACGCTTTTAATAATCAAATTTACTTAATTTCTATGAAACGACCTACCTTCCTGATGGTTGTAAATAACTTCCATCAACTTCCTCACTATCTGCATTAATATTTATCGATTGATGTAACATTGATGAACTTGAAGTTGACTCTTGTATTGTTTCCAACTTTTCTATATGTAGATTTAATATATGTCTAACTGAACATCTAGTAAGATAATAAAGAATAGCGATTCTATGCCAATTCGGTTGTCGACCTAATAAATCTAGGATATCAGCCTCGAAATTCGGATAATTTGTATGATTCACAAGACGATTTAATAAATCCTCTGTTATAATTAACTAAATTAAATTTCAAGATAATAATAATAAAATCAATAACCATGAGTAGATTATATGTGCTATGAACAATCGGATTAGAAAATGTGCAATTCGTACAACTAACAATGAACAAGTTTGAATATTATCATTAAAAAATAAATTGTCAAACTCAATTTGATTATACGTAACTAATTGGTTTTAGAAAGGGATAAACATCAATTCAGCATATCTAAATAATTAAATGAAACCGTTGATAATACAAAAAATAAACGCTTATTCATGTATGAGATTGTTCACGATTGAATGAGCTAACACACTAATCTATTGAAGAGAATGACATGAGGTTGCCTACTGGTTACCATTACAATTCACCAAAAATTCCAGGTATCTATAATAACATCATATATTCTATTAGATTACAAGAAGTGCTTTGTTTTCTAATGACTTTAAAAAACAGCAGGATTTATTTAAGTTTGATTTATTTGATGTATTAGCTAGCATCAATTAGTGATAAAAATCACTCTCAAATTGTAAAACAATTCCTACGAAATTACTTAAGTAATCAACGTATACCCACTGGTGATTAGTTCTGAGATGATCTGTGAAATCATCCAGCGATGAAACTGAATGAGTATTGTGCTGTATCGAAAATCTGATTGAAACTGAAGGTGAGAAACACTAAACTCAAAAATACTGGTTCCAAGGTGTCGTCTTCGATGAAAAAACTAAGGTTTCATCGTACATCATTTGTAGTTATGTTGTGCACCGTTGAAGTGTATCAAACTACGATAAAATGGCTGAGCAAGACTCATGAGTTTGAAATGATTCTCTAGTTGTGACAAGTTCGAAGTAAAAATTCCATCAAACTTCTAATATAGCAGTTATATAATGGGAGTATCAAAGAATAACATGATGTTTCGAAGTACAGAGTTTGTTTCCAAACGTAATTATCACCTAAGGATAACAACAACGCCCACTAGCATAAATTATTCTTTCTGTACATCAATCAGATATTGTACATAACACATAGATCATAATTTAAATCCATCTTTTACAACCTGGGGTCCAATGGTAGACTTTCAGTAAGCGAAGTAAAATACACAATGGGCTTGACAGACTAGCAGTTATAAAATATGTTAATTATGCCACGCTTTTGTTTGGCTGAATGTGAAATTTTGCCTAGAATGAGAATGGGTTACAAGTTCGAATGCAGACAAAACGAAATACAACTTAAATGAACAAAGTTCTAATTGTTAATTTAAATTACACAGGCTCGTTCATCTGGAAGACTGGACGACTCGGAATCGAGAACATTGACTGAATCAAACTGAATCATTATTCTACTAAATATTTTAAAAACCTGATCATTCTAACTTGAGTTGTTCTCTCTATTACATTAGACCTTTAGTCATTACTATCATTAGTTATTATTATCATTAGTTTGGGCGGAAACCTGGAGAACTACGAAAGCCATCATCCAGAAAATACAGGTGTTTATTAACAGTTGTCTACGCAAAATACTTCGGATCCGTTGGCCGGACACTATTAGCAACAACCAACTGTGGGAAAGAACAAACCAGATCCCAGCGGAGGAAGAAATTAGGAAGAAACGCTGGAAGTGGATAGGACACACATTGAGGAAAGCACCCAACTGCGTCACAAGACAAGCCCTCACATGGAATCCTCAAGGCCAAAGGAAAAGAGGAAGACCAAAGAACACATTACACCGGGAAATGGAGATAGACATGAGAAAAATGAACAAAAATTGGAGGGAATTAGAAAGGAAGGCCCAGGACAGAGTGGGTTGGAGAATGGTGGTCGGCGGCCTATGCTCCATTAGGAGTAACAGGCGTAAGTAAGTAAGTAAGTATCATTAGTTTACACTTGTTTTTCATTTTCACCATAGTTTGACTGGTAAAATTAATCTATCATTGTTTTATTTTCCACAAACTAGTTGGATCGTCAATCAGAAATAAAGTTCGCATCTAATTGGGACGTTCCAAGTAGAATAACAACTAAAATAGTCTGTACAAACAGTTCAAAATATGCACACTTCTATATTTAAGACCTGCTATATGACTAACACATTTAATGTCAAAATACCACATAGTTAGTAAATAGCAATGATAGCAAATCTGAAATGGTTAAACAATGGAAGATTAAATCAACTTATATATTGACTATTAAAACAAATTGATATTTTTTACGTTTAACAATAATACTTAAAGAATAATATTGTGAAAACCGACTGTTTGTACACCTACTTACCACTTATGAAATGACAGCAACTTTATAACCTGTTCACTAGTAAAGATTCTTGAAACAAGTAAATATTTTTAATAAATAAATACTCCATTTTGTATTTTTTTTCGCTGTTCTTTAATTGTATTAATTCGATAACCGTAATGAACAGAGATATAGTTTTTATTTTATTTATTCATAGACAATATAAGACTGCGGATAGTTGTCAGTCCAAAAAACCCAATTGTCAGATGAAAAAAATGACTAACATGATGAGAGGTGGAGTACAAAACAAGATCTGTCGTAATCGCGAATTCAGCATCAGAATAGTAGTTTAAGAACGAATGAAATGTATGAAAGATGACTAAATTCATTTAAACACAAACATTGGTACAAGGAAGCACCAAATACATATGCGCTAATATAACCGATATAGGACTATATCAACTGATATGTAAAAGTTGGGGATTCAAAACAAGGAATATGCTTTTAGAGGTACTGTTTGTTTAACAGTTTATGACTTCGTGGACTGTTGATCCATCTTCGTTTTCCTAGCCCAAAATTTCTCGCAACGTACTCCAGCTAGGATTGGACCTCGAAGTAAGCGTTAGAAGTGTTTTTGCCACTTAATAGAGGAATTTATACGACCACATTGATCAACTGAAAAATTTCTTCACTGAAATATCTCAAATTTACAAATTATATTTTTAAGTAATCGAACACTAGAAATAATCCATAGCGGATACGTTGTCCTGGTGGTCGGGCTTGCACGATACGAAAACTAAATTAGGTTAGATTGGCTGGAACACTCGTCCCTCTATGCTTCAACATGCCAAGCAGGTTGGTAGGAGAGCAGTAAGACAAAAAGTACTAAACTCGTAATCTGATAGTAAAGTTGTGCTGCCGACTGCATAAAGAGGCATGATAGCGATTAGGTGTCTCTCTAGGACAACTAGCGTCTGTGGCAATCCTGCCTTCTCACGACGGAAGAAGTTGAAGAAGGTCGATCCTACACATGTCAAACCTCACTCTGATCCACGGATTCTCGTCTCCAGTGGTAAGGTTTACCAGTAAGACGCTAACTCATTCGAAACTATATATATATCTTTCCACTATTTTCTCATACCCTATCCTCAAAGCCAAGTCTTTTTGATTGTTATTTCAACTACATTATTCCGATCTTTTTTACAATTCATCGTGTTAAATTTATCTCATCGTGATAATGAAGTGTGCAAACTTTGAGCTAGCATCTACGTGGATGATAATTGACTGACTAGAAAGAATATGAATACCAGGCCCTCAGTCATATGAACACAAGAGTATAGTAAATTGTTGTAATTGTACCTAAAGTACAACACTACAAATTACAACCTCTTAGCTCAAAAGACTCAGATTTATGAATGGGCAGTATATAAACGCATAGAAGTTAACATGTATAAAATTTTGATAAAGAATAATGGTTTGTAATAACACTTTACTTTGTTTCGAAGTTGTAATCGTTTCACCTGTTCTAAACAAGAATATTTCAAATTACATTGGCTTGATTCTAATGATGATGCATTATGTAAGTCTGATGATTTTGTCGTAGCAAAAAAATTAGTTACAGAATGGCATCGTCTATTCTTTAGTTCATTTCTTTCTGTTATGTTATTGAATATATTTTCATCTGATGATGAATTACCCCGTGTTGTATTTTCTAAGGAATTCTGACAACGTAAATTCTCAGCTCCATTACTAACCGAGTAGAATCGTTCACGTTTAACAAACTGAGCATTTTTGTGTTTGGCCGCTTTAGATTCTTCTGCTTCTAAAGTCTGAAAACGTAATTCTAAATCATCTTCTGATATTTTACCCATAAGACGTTCAGACAAAGCATCAATCATAGCTGCAACGTATTTAGCATATGGATAGTGTGTATTGTCATTTGTTGATGAATGATTGAAGTTTTCTACTTTTAATTCATTTTGAAGTTCAGAACTGTTTGAAGAATTCCTCACCGCACAGTTTTCGAGATTTTGTGTTACTTTATTGAACTGAAATTTCAAAAACATGTCGACAACATGTGTCAAAAATAGAATGAGTATACCACATTATCAATTATGTCAAGAGTTTGTCTTAGTTTTTTTACAGATAGGACCAGATAAACAAACCTAGTTTGAAAATTTATAATAAGAGGAAGATTGTTAATACGTAAATAAGATTTATCAAGATCTATCCAGATGGACTTTGATATACTAAAAGAAAAAGACAAAGGCAAGAGGAAAGTGAAAGGTAAAGACAAGTGATACTTAGACTTCATTGATGAATTTTTAGATTTCAGGTTCAAAGTAAAAATAATGTCAATTCTTCTAGTAATAGATGCAAGAAGTATGCTCAGATTCGATAACCAGTCTACATCGGCAGTCATTAACCTGATTCAGAGACATTTTTCCTTCAAGCAATACTACACATTCTGGTCTGCTTCAACCAGTACATCTAGCATTGGTCATATACTGGGTTTTTTGTTATCAAAAACGAGATCCATGGTGTAAATGGATCAGCTATCGCATATATATTTCTCTATCAGATCTTATGTGTTCAGCGGTTACGCCTTGTAATCCGAAGGTAGAATAAACTGACTGATGAATCGCATACTCGATGCTAAATCATATAATAAATAAAATTTCGGCATTTGTTACTTCTTTCACCTCGATAATGAAAGTAAAACTTCTGAATGCTGAATAATGATTATCTTAATATTAATTGATACGATAGGAGCGTGCACAATCCTATCCCGAACGATTTAGGAACGACAGAAAAATTAACCCGTACATTAAGTTGGTTTTATCTTTACTTCAGACAGTCGTATTAAACAATTCTCAATCAAATTGGGGTATCTACGCGTACTGATTAAGTGGAACATATTTTTCAGCTAATTTGACCACAATTTGAATTACATCAAGTCGATTGAGTACCCAGATAAGACAAAAAAATAAAATCTACGATCAAATAGAACCCACAACACAAGTAGTTAAAACCAGAGAATGCGCACTATTAGCCCGATGTGACCCTCAACCCTGATTCATGACATTCGTTCCCTTTAATAAAATATTTTGTGGAAATATAAAGGTTCCCTTGGCAACATTCTTAAATTACCGGTTACAAAATCCAAGTAACATAAACCAAGAATACATAAATAAATTTCCTTTACGATAAATGTATTGAACATCTCAGTATTTGTCGTTATTAATTTATTTGTTTACTTGTCACTATTTATCTGTCCATTTACGTGCTAAATAATGAACATCACAACTAAATGACTGATATCAATTAAATTGTTTTTATTCACTACAGAATATTAGTTATTACATACATATATAAACAATATTGGTTATAAATTGTTATAAGACTAGTTCAGTATGGTTAATTGACCTATTAAACATACGTCAAAAAGGGAGAATATTTACAATACATAAGGAGAGTCAGATATCAGACACGATCGACAAATATTTGAGTGTTCACAATTTACTACTAAATAGTCGACCATTCGTTAAATGAATATATATACATGAATGACACACTTGGTTGGGACGGTAGAACCTTAAGAAGCCAGTGCCATAGCCAATTTCGCCCGTTGTTAAGACAAATAAAATCATCAATTCAATGAATTACTTACAGTTGGGACAGTAGAACTGAAGAAACATTTATAAAGAAAATACTTGGAAAAAAAGCGTTACTTACAAATAGTTCATTTTTTGTTGAAGATTTATTTGCTTGATTCGGTTTAGAACTGATGGTAGTATTTTTTAGTGCTTCATCAGTCGCTTCCCTACCTGACACTATTTCATCCATAACTTTTGTATGATCAATAGTACAATGCTGCATTGTAGATAAATCATTGATTGTAAAGTCAAATGTAGATTTATTCGATTTATCGCATTGAACCACAATTGAATTCAAATTGAAAGACTATCCAATAAAGATAAAAACAAAAACTTACTTCACACTGTTCATAAAAAATTCGAAAATTACATTAAAATCCCTGTGTACGAATTCAAAGATTCAGTAAACGCCAAACTTCGAGATGAACAGGTTGGATTACGCAACAATCAATTGTGCACAGATCAAATGGCGACACTACAGATCGTTATTGAGAAGTCGGTTGGATGAAATTCGTCACTACACATAAACTTCTTCGACTATGCGAAATTGTGTGACAGTGTGGATAGTATAATCTTATGGAGCCTTCTTCTACACTATGATATGCCTGGGAAAATCATCAACATCAAACGGAATTTACACGACGGACTACACTGAAAAGCCGTGCATGTAAGACAGCTGACAGACGCATCCCAAGTGAGGACTGGAATCAGACAAGGCTGCTTAATCTCCCTCTTTCTCTTATGGTGGTCGACTGGATTATGCAGACCTCTACATCTGAGGGGAAGAACGGAATAAAATGGACAACTCGTATGCGACCAGACGATTTGGACTTTGCAGATGACCTAGCTCTTCTATCTCATACACACGAAAAAATGCAGATGAAGACAACCAGTGTAGCAGAAGCCTCAACATACACAAGGGAAAAAGCAAGATCCTTAAATAGAACACAGAGAACACCAACCAAGTCACATTTGCTGTAGAAGCTGTAGAAGAGGTGGAAACTTACACATACCTGGACAGCATCATCGATAAACAAGAAAGATCTGATACAAATGTAAAGACAAGGATTGACAATGCAAGGGTGGCATTCCTACAACTGAAGAACACATGGAACTCAAAACAACTGTCAGCCAACACCAAAGTCAGAATCCTTGATACGAACGTCAAGACAGTTCTACTGTACGGAGCCGAAACTTCGAGAACTACCACAACCATCAGCAAAAATGTACAAGTAAATATAAACAATTGTCTACGCAAGGTAATCAATGTCTGTTGACCGAATACCACCAGCAACAGTCTACTGTAGGAGCAAACAAACCAGCTTCGGGGTAAAGAGAAGATTAAGAAAAGACGTTTCTGGTGAACAGGACATACATTACGAAAATCACCAAATGCATCTCGAAGCGAGTGCTAACTTGGAATCCTGAAGGGAAGAGGAAGACTAAGAAACACACTGCTCCGAGAATCGGAAGCAGACATCGAAAGAATCAATATCAATTGGAAACAAGTGGAAAGGATTTTCCATGATATATTTTGATGGAGAAGGCTGGTGGGCCGCCTATGCTACACGAAAGATTACAGCCCTAAATGGGATAAGTTATTATATTTCATTTAAGTGCAAGACGGATATTCAAAGCATTTTGTAATTTTTATTCTACATCCTAATAGCCATTAAAATTCAAAAGCAAGTGCATCGCTCTTCGCTGGAAGTACCGGGAAACGTCCAAACAGACTTCACGTGATGATTTTCTAAATATCAACGTTCTTTCAAAAAATATTTCTACACAAATCACTAATGATGACGAGTTATAGTTCGTCCAAAGTATGACAATTTCTTTAGTAAGTGGGTTTATTGTGTGCCTGTATGTTTATCACATCAAATCGATTTTGAAAGCCATAGTTAAGATGGCTGGCTGGAAAGGAAAACTTCACATTTAGACTGCATTGATATAATATAAAAATGCTATGACTCATAACCCATGCACACGACTGTAGTGTATTGATGAAAATAAATTCATAAACAAAACAGGTTAGATAAATTTAAGAAGGATATGTCTATCTTTAGACGCACAGTCTGACTATTATTAGCTAAATCGTACAATGAAGCAGCATATACAATAATAATAACAGCATAAACACAACTGCAAGACAAATGGCTTGTAACGGGAAGTGTGACTGACGTTAAATAGTAAACTCAAAATAAATTTGCTTAAAAAAATGATGAAAATAGAGTGGGTGAGATGATAGATGCAGTTCTACTTTAACATTCACATTGCCATATGACTGTACAAAACACTTGAATAGAATGTTTCTGTAGTGGCTGTGCTTCGTTTAACTAATCACCCTCGTAACCGTTATCATATAATCCTCAACGGTGTTTGAAATCAGAAGGCAAAGAGAAGCAGCGACTAAAGCCTTATTAGTAGATAATTCAGACAACAAAGCCGAGAGGCAAACGAATGATTCAGCAAACCGAGAGTGTAGAGTGTTAAATGTATGGATCATCAAATCAATTAAGCAGCTAATAATAAAGTTAGCAGAATGAATATATGCGTAGGCAGTAAGCAATGTTCAAGCATACATATTTCATACAAGCACAACAATAATAAAGGTACAATAAGTTGTTATAGTACGGATGACTTTGTCCGCTAAATAAGTTAACAAAAGGGCTTAACTGAGTTAAATGAGAACATACTCAATTGCACGTGGGTTGTTATATTTCCTTCTTCTGTTCAATAAGCGAATATGTTAATACAGTAAGCAAAGAGAAACATTAACACCGAAACCTCAATCTAACATCATTCTGTCTGACGACGCTAAACGTCCTCCTGAAAAGCTGGTTATTTCCTAAAACCATATTCTTGGCAAGAAAAAATCCGTACACTGAATTATACAAACATACATTTCTCGAAATGGCTATCATCACAAAAGCAATGAACTGATGAAATATTGAAAAACCAAGAGCATAATTGATTTAGGTGGAGTTTTGTCCTCTGACCTAAATGATTTGGTCATGGAGCTTTCGTTGTTCCTCAGACCAATATCATCAGCACAAAGTTCAGGTAGAATTAGTGTGTTCTTTTTTCTCCACATATGATACAGCTTTCCTGTAACCCTTGATCTTGATCAGTTTTTGTTGTCCTTTAATCTATCACCATCTATTTTGATTGTATCTCCAAATGATTCTTGGTCCTGTATTTGTCCATAATTTTTCTGATTGGTTGATAAATTGGATCGATTTCAATGTGTTTGTTGATTAATCGATTGACCTGAGGTCCAAGCCTGTATCCAAGATCTCAACATTTTTTCCAGTTGAATGTTTGTCCACAGTTGTCCACATTCATTGATGGAAGAGGAGATATGTCATGGATCTTGACAGCTAATTGATATTCATGCAGGCGAAGATGAAGGGGGCGTCCAGTTCGTTCGATGTAGTGTTTTTCACTACTGGAACAGTTTATTTTGCAGATATTCGGTTTTTCTCCTTTTATCATTTCGTCTTTTGGTTTGCATAGGATTGATTGAAGTGATTTTTTGGTTTTTGTGCTACACCTATTCCAAACGGCTTCAACAATCTCGATGTAATTTCTGATATGTATTTGATATATATTAGGATGATCCGTTTGTTGGTTTCTCTACTTAATTTTGTTTCTAATGCGTTTGGTTGATATTTTTTGGTGAAGTTCATTAGGTAGCTGTTCTTTCAGAATAAAGTAATTGTATACTTTTCCTCATTTTTCTGCGCTGCAAGTGCTGCAATGTGTTTTCGATCTCTTTAATAAAGTTCGTACGCAAGTGATTTTGAGCTCTTGGGTTGGTACTACCATAATTGGGAATTTGATCTGTGTGAACCGGCTAACGATATACTTGAGTCTCTAATTTTTCTCTGTCGGTTTTAGTGATTAATACATCTAAGAATGATAGGTATCTGTTCGGATCATTTTCCATTGTGAATCATCTTATGTCATCGATGACGTTGTAGGTGCTTTCCAGCTCATCCTTTTCATCGATGACGAATACAACATCTACATTTTGGCTTAATCACCAGTGATATCGAGGCTTTCAGTCTCTGCATCACTGCTTCTGTAATAAATCCTGACATTAGTGATCCCATTGGTGTTCCTCTCGTTTGTTTGTAAATTACATTGTTGAGTTGAGAATATGTTGTTAAGCATTAATCGATGAGTTCTAGTAAACTCTGGCGTTGAAGCTTCGAGTACTTTTGGAGATTCATATCATCGGTGAGGAGCAGAGTTAGAGTTTCCTTTGCTAAGCTTGGTTCGATTGAAGTGCATAGAGGCTGTCACATCGAAGAATATCATCAGTTCGTCGTTGTTGGTCTGAACCTCCTTAACCTGTGGATATAGAATCTCCACGACACCTATCTTTTATTTTTATCACGGCCAAAGATATAATCTTCCAAATGATTTATTGTCCCTTTAGAACGCTTGTTTCGTTTTTATATTTTCAAGTTCATTATAGTCAGTTATATATACATGTCCCTTATCTGAATACACTTTCAATAAATCACCCCTGAAAGATTTGTCGATAGGATTAAACGGCTCTAGGACGAGAAAAGGTGAACGAGATATATGTTGTAGACAAATCGATGCTAGTTGTCACCGGATATAGACAAGCCACATCAGTGCTTTAAAATGAATCAGTTAAAAATAAAGGATGGATTACTTATTGAAAGACAGATTAGGATACGAGTGACGCTATTAGAATGAAAGACAATAATATAAAAATGCTGCACATGGTTTATAACTTCTAACCATTTGAAGATTTTTTCCATCCAAAAAATAAACAAATCAATAACAAGTGCATTTTGACATTTCATTTCTTATCGGATGATTAATTCCTGATTAGCTAACTGGTAACAGCAACAATAGTATTAATGGTAGATTCAGCTATATTCAAACTAAAGATAAACAATAAATGCAGAACCAGATGGGATAAAAATGTGGGAGGAAAGGTTCAGTAACATTCGATACCACATAATGAAATAATTACGGAAAAACTTACAGGTACATTAGTTTTATCTGAAGACTGAGGTTTTCTGTGAGTGAAATGACTCCATGTTTGTGAAGTAGATTCAATCAATTTATCGCTTCCTATTGTTTCGATCAATCCACGATAAAGACAAGCAATTTCGCCAGATACCTTTGAGCTAGGTGAACCGATTGGCCATGTTTTGGAATTCATTATTGGGGTATTAAACGAGTCATTTTCTAAAAATTCTTTATCCGATGAGTGATTTGATCTGTTCAATAAGTTATACTCTACTTCTTTAACTAATAAGTTCCCTTTATTTTTAATTAACCCAACATTCCCATGATGAGAGAATTTTGATGAACGCCGTTTGGTATATAATGGTAATAAGCGAAACTAGACAAGTGAATGGATTAAATAGATATTTAGTCATAACAGTTAATAAAAGAAAGCTAAAACAATTCACTCTACATTGAGAAAAAGAAATATATCGGATACAATTAGTTTAGGGATGCATGAATACCTAAAACTGACTAATTAACTTATACGATATGCTCTGACTCAAATATAATTTACTTAATCCTTTGTTCATTCGTGAGAGAACATTTTCACACGAATTATCTGAAAATATAAACGGGGCTGTATCACCTATAAAACTTGTGGAAAGTTGAAAGGTATCCAATGAGAAGATTGCGTAAACAACAAAGTATGTCGGTAAAATTTACAAAGCTTTGATTTAGGAAAAAGAAACCTTACTGGTGCTGATCCATTTATGTTGTATCATCAAATAGTACCGATGATTTATCTTTGAAAGTAAGTAACATTGGTTAAGTTGTTCCGTTTTTCTCTTGGCTCTTTTTCGTTTATTTTCTAGGTAAATTACCAAATGACCAAACGTTTTAAGTTTTTGTCAGTGAATTATCATATTCATGTCAAAAAAGGTATCTGTGTGAATAAAGATTTATTCAAAATGTATTGACCATTACGCAACCTGCTTTTGTTGTTTTAAATCTCGGACCACTTTATGATGAGACCTCTTTTATCCAATCTATAGACTCACATTTATTAAACAACTACAAATACGAATATACAGCTTAGGTATATGACTTCATAGAAAAGATTTTCTTTGCTGAATCCTTTTTATTTTTATTGAATGATACAATGGGTCACTTTAATTGCCAAAATGTATCGATTACTTAGTACCAACAGATCTCTTAAAACGTTTTATTAGACAGTTCAGGAGAGATATATTAGGATAATTAACTAATATACTGAATCTGACTTCTTAGAATATTAGTCACTTTAGATTACTTCCTCTATTCTTTATGCTTATGATAGCTAATTTATGGGTTGATAAGCCTTAAGTTTAACGGTATTTGATAGAACTACAAATTATCTAATGGTAGGATATTGTCTTTTTACGAGCGGGATAACATTTTCCAGGCTGTGTTTACGCACCTTACTGGTGGATGCTAGTTTTTAATCTCTACGATTTATTGTAAAAAAACCAACTATATGATAGTAACAACTAGGTAGATATCTAAGATATTTTATATCCAATTTACATTTTCTATGATCAAGCTATATATTTATAACACTAGTTTATCAGATGATACAATAAACTAGTTGTAATCAAGTGCTCATATTATTCAGTAAAGTAACCCGAACATTATCTGTCATCAACAATATAGAACCTTACACACATGTATATCGGCTCAAGTGGAAAATGACTTATATCAACCAAGGTGGAAGGTCAAGAATCTGAAATAACGATATGAATGATAATGGGGGGTTGAATAAAACGATTTAAGTTCATATGGAACTAATGACGTTAAAGAATGAATTATGTTACGTTTAAGGTCCCAAAAATGAAAAAAAAATCAAATACATCATTAATGTTGTTGCTAGTTTTGAACCTCAGGTTTTAATCTAAGAATTACAATTATCTCAAACGACTATAAGCAAGAGCCTTCACTTCCATTTACACATTAATCTGCTTAACAAACTATAATTTTATGGTCTGATGATATATTTTGATCTAGCTGTCAGTAAATTTTATCCAACATATTCCTATGCTATTTAACATTGTTCCTTGATGTAGCTGGTGGAATGCTATGACATAAACTATGTTCCATCGACTAACATTACTTTGAGATTATTTACCAAATAGACAATAAGCAGTAGCATTTGAAGATGATGTACAGAATATCTCAGAACTTAAACAATGAAACCTAACGTTACAAAAGATGAGAAACCCTACCTCTTCTTCTTGTTCTTCTACAGAAGCTTGAGTAGAAATTTTATCCAATTTCCTAACAGTGCGTTTTTTTCGCTTTACTCGACGAATAGTGTTTGTGGATAGCCTTTGTATTCTAGGGAAAAAACCACTTGATAAATAATTAGACGAAGATTCATTCTGACGAAATAATCGGGGGAATAACTGAGCACATACATTGGTAAGTGTTGGATGATGAAGCCTTTCATTTGGTTTGTTTATGATGTTTGTACTCAACTTTTTGTTGGGTATTGGAGGAAAGAGGGTACCATTGACTTCAGCACAGCCATTATATTCTTTTTCTAGAGTTGATGCTTTTTCGTGAGAACTAGTTCCCATAAATTCACTGTTTAATTCGAATATTTCCTCTTTAGCTGTAGATAATTTATTTCCAATGTGAGACTTTAAGTTAAAACCGCTTTTGGGAAGCCGGAATTTAAACCATTTTTTGGTAGCACTTCGTTTAGGTATTATGCGCAAACAGTGTTGTACATCTTCAGGGGCTGACTTAACACTGGAACGTCGAGTATATTCATTATGATGAGAGTTAACTTCGATTGCTGACCATTCCTCTATTTCAGGTATGGTGTGAGTTTTTTCTGCACTTCCACTGCATACACTATGATAGCGCATGATCGATGAAGATACAGAATCGTCTTTCATTACAAACCTCTTGGACAATGAACTGCCAGTTTTTATATCAGGTATTTGAATTGGTATTTCAAACACTGGTGGACTGACTGGTTCTATGCTAACTGATTTATATAGTGAATCAAACTGTCGAGATTTAGCACTAAGACCATCAACATTGTCAAAACGAGGAAAAAATCCATTTATTTTTGTTTTCTGTGCAAATGATCCATTCATTGACTGAAGAGGAATTTTATTAGGAATAATTTCACAGTTAAATGAACAAGCTAAAAATAATGAGAATGTACAAAATTAGACCTGAAACTCCGTGTTTTTATCATTTTAATAAATGAGAACATGAATTCTACTAAACCGAATGACTAACATTTTAATCTAAAATTATGTAAGTTAACAGTCAATTCTTTTCAGAATATTTCAATCATGTTTGATGGAAATCAGCCTTCAAAATCAATGTTTCGGACGTACGATTATAGATTTTTATTACAGTAAATTCATATGGTAAATTAACATTTGTCTCATGCAGAATACAACTTATTTGATTTGAAATATAAATAAACTTTGTGCCTATCATAATAAATAAAATGAATTACTTTACTGGTCAGGAACATTCTTTACAACTACATATTAATTTTGAAGAGTTTGGCGATATTTGTGGCATTAAGTCCAATTACTATCCCTTGCGTTAGGATTCATCTTTAAACAATGTGGAGCTTTAAAGTAAACATACGTTTACTTATTACTATACAAGTTGTCACCAAAAACAAACTTAGCAATCTATTTCTCATAAAAATTGTAAGGCATATAAATTAGTTATTTTAAATCTGAACCTCCTTTTATCTAATGGCATTTGACTTTTATGAAGATGATACTTGGAGTCAATTATAACCTCAATGAAACTGAGTAGTTTTTAAACAATTTTCCAATACTTCTGGAGCGACGGGTAGCGTATTACCTTGTTTGTTTGTCTTATCACACTGCATGTAAGCAGAGCTTTTAACTAAAGTTATAAAAAAGGAGAAAACATACAAACTTTATCGGGTAAATACTTTTTTAGTTTTAATTTTTACTAAAGTGGGAAGAATCAACCTGGTAGTACTTTCTTGAAGTTCAACACGCTAATTAGTGGCATAGTGATGCAATAATAGTTTTTATTTTTTGATTACAAATTATAAATGTTGCATAATGAGTGAATTTTGACTTTATTCTGTGTAAAATCGCCTTGAACAAAGACTTAACTAATAGCTGTAGATATTAAAGAAAGGCTACAGTATACGTAATATCAAATCAAACTCTGACAGTTACAATTAATTGGTAATGTCCTTGATTAGCACAAATCTATTGTGTATTTTTAACTGCTTAGTGGCCGCTCACCAATTATGCAGTTCAGTTGTTGCTAAGCTGATTCTTTCTAATTTCGCCCGAAGTCTGATAGTATATGTGAATTTGTAACAAAATATTCTGCAGCACAGAATCCACTCACTGGGGAAAGCCACTCATGTCATGAAATCCAACTCTCAGTGATTGCCGAGTAAAATCAATGAAGTTTACCAAACAGTTATCAAGCTTGGAAACTTGCTAATGTTTTGCTGTGCAACTGATACTTTGTTGGGATATTCAGGAAAATATCCCAAAAATTATCCTGTTAAGCCTAATGCTATCCTTGGACATGGAATAGTATCATCTTATTGGCCAATATTTATTTAACGTGTTATTTTCCTGTTGGCCATTATTGTACAATGTTATTTTCTATTTTATGGTACGTTGTGGACTGCTTGAATGGTATATAAACAAAGCATGTTTGAAATATAATGATTCATAATTCCGAGGCTGTGACTTGTGTTCTGGACTCAACTGGCTGGGTTAGACAGGGAAGCGAGACCAATCAGAACCCTAGGTCGTTCTACGTGTTTGCGCGTCTTTGGTCCGATAAATAATTCGCTATCCCTTAAGCAGCATTTATTATTTTTTCACGTTATAACATACTTTAAGGCAGAAAAGAAGTCTCATGCATTGGTTTCACTTACGTCAGCATTAACCAACAAACGTTGCTGCAGCTTCAGCTTCCAATGAGCATCAAACGTGTCTAAGGCTTTTTATAATGTGATTTAAAAAACTTATTGTTGGCTGTAGCTACCACTTTGATGTGACTGGATTTGCCTATCTTGAAGAGCAAGTTAAACCAAATTGGCTTTAACACCTAAATCTAAGGATGGTCGGTTGCAGCCGGTATAACGTATACTGGGCAATCTTTACTGCCCATCGTACTGGCTTGAAATATCAGTAATGTGTTACGCATGAATGACCAGGATCTCTAAAGACGCTGCCATTCCACAATAGAAGGAAGGGTCAGAAAAGGTTGACAGTAAAAACAGTACATTTTAACTTACCTGTATGCAACCAGACTCAAACAGTTACCTCAGACACAGTGCTTATGATCATAGATCATCAAGGCCACTATTAACTAAATTTCTTTTATAGGTACTCCAAAAAGTTTCTTAACACGGTGTGAACAACAGATAAGTGAAAACTGCCTACAGACATCACACAATACATGAGCCCATCTTGTTCACAACAGACACTGAGTTCTTGAATGAACATAAAAAAGTGGTAACTTGCTTACTGATAGCTTCATATAACCAAGTGTATTTTCATTAAATATGAACCTACTATCTTTAAGATGTGTTGTCGTATTACCGAAATGTGGAGAGACCTTTTCTAACTTCTTTAAACGTTCTCTGTTATCAAGAGACATATTCAGTATTTGGTTAACATAGTTAGCACATGGGCAAATCTGGCAAGGTGATAAAAATAATAATGTTTTTCCTTACTGGTGATTGATCAGCCCCTAACAGTTCATTATGTTTTATGTAATCTTTATGGGGCAGTACGCTTATGTCATCATGGTAAACATTTGATCCTCCTGTCATTACATCATTAGGTTTGTAAGGATTAAACACAAACGCACTGTCAGATTCAGTATTTTTTTGCCTTCTAAGAGAGCTTATGTTCAGGTAAGCCTCTAACATCCTAACAGCTTCTTGTGTGACATGCAACGGAGTCTCTGGAGGATGCATTCTCAATTCGGACCTGAAGTAACAAAATTTTGACGGCAGGTTTTTAGAATCCATAATGATCCTTCCTATTTCTCGTACAAATCTATAAGAAAATGACGAAAATAGTTAAAATTAGTACAAATATTCTTACCCTTCACTAAATTGTTTGACCAAAAAATATCACACAACAATCATTTACCACGACAAATAAGGTGGGGTAAACTTATATGATATACAATTTAGTAATAATTTAGTTCTAGTTAAACTTGTCTTGTAGAATAAATTGAACAATATGTAGCCTAATCCTCAGTCATTTCAGGCAACTTGGTTAGAAGACAACAAGTAAAAACCAATAGATTCAGTTCAAGAGAAATCAAGCTGTTAACTGTTTTGTGGCTGAGGCCAGTAAAAACTTATTCCACAGTTATTGTTAGAAATAAGAGACTGTTGCCAATTTATGAATTTTTGGTCGTCGCAGTCAGGTTTACAAGGATCAGATCAAACATTATGAGGTCAAAATACACTTATAAAAACAATTTATGTGCCACATACTGTAAGCTTCTATCTACTCCACTTTAAAGTTATTCCAAAGTCTATACAACCAACGGTGATGCGGTTTTTTAAAGTTCGATTAGAGAAAGTATTTAGACAGAAAAGCGTGATTTAGGGAAACCCGTAGCAGTAATCAATATTAATGTGTGAAAATCATTCCCTCTTACGGTCACCTAGACTTCCCCCTATAATTTTACCAACCCTCGAACAAACTTCGTTTTCAAACATGAAGAGAATCCTAACTATTAGGGATTACAAAAATGGGTTTATGGTTACACGAATGGCAACCTTAGCTATACCTTACATTTTTAAAAAGTAATTTGAATTAAATACCGAATTTAGTAACATGGATGGGTACTTGTAAGGAAAGATGTGCACGCGGTTGACAACTGTGGTCCTTGGTCATCATTTTATGAGGGCAGTTCGAACGAAATAACTGATAACGGGAACACAATTAAAAAACTTCCATGTAGTCATGGTGATTCTTACTTCTTGATTAGGCAGGAGGAATAATCCAAGTTAGAAAACACTAAAGACAGTCTTTTGAATTACGGTAGGGAGAATGTTAGTTCTGACTATCTGATCCAGCTCTGCCCCATGAACGCACTTATTACGACTGTCAAAATGCCATTCAGTAGCACCGATCTATTTTTTAAGATATAAAATTTTTGAAATTCAAAAAACACCGGAATGCCCTTTGTCTCATAAAATCAAAAATCGAAAGGAGGAACAAAAGATGACTTGTTCGTACGTTCATTACTTTTGAGTACAGACTATTTGTTCCTAATTTTTCTGGAAAAGTAAATGACAAATATCGACTAACATAATGTACGAAAAGATCTTAAGTCAAAAACTGTCGTCCCAACAACTCTTTGTCTGAATTTATCGGATAGAAATCATAAATGTTAGGGGGGAATAGAAACCTCCGATAATTTTCTGATATTTCAGAAACCCTTCAGTAAACCTAACTTTTAGAAGTAAGGAAGGTAATGAGGGAGCGATAACTGCTACCATCCTTAAAAATAGCGGCTGAGACAGCAGTATATGTCTGAACACAAAATCAGCTAATAATAAACAAATAAATATAAGAAAGCTCTTAGTAATTAGTAGTGTATAGTTATTGACATTTTATGAAGAAGGATCGACAGAAGTAAACCATATTGATGACCTAAGAAATTTTAAGATCTCTTACGTGCCGATATTGGGGTAGAGATAAACTTCACGCTGTCAGGTCATCAAAGTGTTTCGTTCTCGGTAATTACAGTCATGTTTTCGCTCATTTAGCCACTGAATCGTACATACTTTGAATTAATTTCTATCATAGAGTAAATTGAAGGGGTAACTTTCTTTAGGTTATAAAGTTTCATTCACTAAAACTGATTGCCCTACACTCAATACATCCGTAGCAAGATGGGGAGATATCTCCGTCGTACAAAAATCTTACGCGTAAGCCTGTAGTGGACACTGTGAGTATTGAAAGCTTTAGGGTGTCATTTTTTACGGCTGTGCCTTGAACCACTAAACATAAAAGGGAAAATAAAGTGGACAATTTTTAAGAAACTAAGAAGGAATTAAAGGGGAGACTCTCTGAAATTTTCGTGTTGCCCATCCTGGAAATGGCCCTCTAGCTTCTTTTTATCACCGAAGCAACAACCATGCATGACATGCCAATAACATACTTCAAGCTTCTCTTTATTAAACTTCCTTTTGCCCACGTAACCTAGTAACATATATTTGCACAGAGTGACAACACTTTTATTCCTGCTAAAAAAAAACTCATCCTGGTTACTCATTTGGGAACATAATAATAAAAACATGTAAGCGCGACATGAAGTATGCGCTAATACAGTAAAGGATTCTAATCGACGGCAACATTTCTTGTGAACATAAAAGACTGCATTAATGGCTATCGTTGGAGACACAGAAACTCCGAATACTTCTGAGATACTGACGATCCAGCGGAAAACCTCGTAGACCGAAACGTTCTGCTCATCATTGATTGTAACAGCGCAAATAATAATTCCAGCTTCATCCTAACTGGTTTTCAGGTTCAAGGTCAAAATCGTGGAGGTGACTGAACTTCATCCACCAACCCCAGAATAGCATGAGGCATTGTATGGTTCGAAAGAGGATGAAGTCACAAGGGTTTAGGGGGTTTTGAGATAAATAGTGAACCTTTCAGTGAATTGTTTCTCACAGTAAGCGAAGTCGTTAGGTGTCCGGTAAATCAATTAGAGTAAGAGTTCGGAATAAGTTTTCAAGTTAGAAACAAAAAGTAAGACTACGTTTTGGGGTTGAGAAGTAGGCTAAGGGCCATCATCACTAAATGATATCGATTATAATCCAAGAGTAACGGTCACAAAACCTGACTACAAAACCTTTCTGCTTTCTGGTCATCTGGCAAATAAGTACGAGACAATGTCACAAACCCATTTTGTTCTCTCATACAGTGTAATACTACTTCAAAAGCTCTCAGGTCGCCTTGAAAAACCAGATATTCTAACGTTGCTATCGTCCTGAAACCAATACATTTTTTATTGTTAATCTGAGAGTCGTTTAAGTTGGTTGTCGTCCATAAGCGTCCCAATTTCTATAGATTTTCAGTCTGATTGACAAAATATCGGTAAGGTATGTCAAGTTCTTACATTGCTTTCAGTAATATACTAGCAGTTTGTCAATGCATTTATGACTTCGCGATAAAGTTCAATAACCGCTTCAATCATTCTCACCGGTTTATTCAGTGTCGTTGGCACAGATTACTTCCGTCGAAACATCATTCTTTTCCACTGTCACATCATCTTCAAGCAGCGTTAAGCTAACAGATTTTTTGTCACTTTAATTTAACGGGACAATAACGTACATAAAAGTATGTGAAAAGCGAATAAGAGCATTCGGAAGTAACGTTTGATGTCTGCGCTAAAGTTGTCTTTTAACCGATTAGACCTACTACCCATCATGGAATTCAACCATCAATCAAGGATTTCTAAACAAATTTGTCACAAGCAGACGTCTCCAGTTTATTTCAAAAGAAATTCATCGGCTAAATATCTAATTACAATGTCCGGCATCATATCTTTTTCGAACCACTTCTTTTCCTTTAATCTTGACTATTCTCAGTTATCCCTTGGCTTGTGATAAAGTTTAAGTTTCCTTAAAGTAGTCGATATCCACTTCTCAATAGAAATCTGATTTCTTTTCACGTTTTCGGGAGTAGTTGTGACCAAGGTCCACCTCATTACATTAGGACCGTTTCGACAGTGGCATTAAAAATCCTGAACTTGGTTTGTTGAATTATGGACCTAATCCTAAAATTGTATATATGTCGTGATGTGAATACACAATCTATAAGACCTAACGTGGAAGTCACATCAATGTCTATTCTGACTAGTCGTATCACGACAATCCGCAATATAGCGTCCGGCGTTTATAGAGAACACATTTGGGCCAGAGATAGGGTAATACGTTTCATGCAAAGACAAATTACGCAGAACGACCACGTCTGTGAAGCTGAGCTATGTCATCCGATTTATTGAATGAATAATCCCTAGCTCATCATTGCTGGCCTTTTCACCATGTTAAATGTTAAATATTTTCCTAGCCACTTCATTTTCAGCTTTGAGGATTGTGTGGTTAGGACTAATAACACAACATGTCTTTAGTGACAGTTCTTTTAATTAACAGACGCTTTCTAGCTATATGTAGGCTGGCTTCTCTTCGTTAGTTTATGCCCTCACATATGAATGAGATTCTCCATATTTATCAATGTTACCACGTGGAAATGTGGAGGCTTTCATCACCTCTAGAGATATGTCATAAAGCTTGATTTGATTAGTGTTCACTGTTACACTTTTAGACCTTAATTTGCTCCTATGTACGCTAACTTACCTACTTCTAAAAAAGTTGCAGCTACACTAGATGTCTTATTTTCGATTGCTTACTATGTATGAGATAAAAGAATTAAGTCACCTGCAAAATCCAGGTCAATCGACTGCTTCTAAGGAATACACTAATTGCAGTGCTCTTCCTTAGATGCAGAGGTCAACTTGATCCAGTCAATATCTAGCGGAAGGAAGAAAGGTGACGATAAGGAGACTTATTGGGCACCAGTCCTCACCTGCTTTGCTCGTGAGACCAGTTCTATTCGACCGATTGTTCAGCAGTGACTCACATAGTTCCGAGTTCGCTGAAACATGATCCATCTTTACGAGTATCAGCCTGTAGATAAAAAAGTGAGCTACCTCATTAGCGAGTTTGTTGATGATTGTTTCTACTTCAAAGTCTTTCTCAATAGAGCGTGTAGTGCTTTTGCGGTTACCTCCGTGTCTAAATCAAGTGCTCTAACTAGTATGGTGTCTAGTTCTATTGCTCTCCAAATCTTGATTTATCTGCTGGTCTTCCTGAATTCATCTATCGTTGATGGGGTGACATCTATAAAAACGTTCATATATGCTGCCTCGATGTTCGTTGGGTTCAGTGGAGCTGATCTACTCAAGAGCTCATCGAAATATTCTACCCATTTTTCCCCTTTCTGAAACGTCAATTGTCGTTTTCGCCCCTGGCTGGTCACTGATTTACCATATTTCGCCATGAGCTTTTGTCATATACTTCTTCGTATTTCCTTCTTTTGCAGATCCTTATTCTAAAGTTTCTAGATCTTTTCCATCAAAATATGGTGCTTCCTCCAGGTCGTTTTTTTATTTCTGCACACTTCGTATATGCATTCGCATGCTCCACTCTAGTTCGTTGTTTCGGATGTTTCTATACCAATCGCTGGTATAGACCTGTTACAACCGCGTAATCTACTCATGGACACGTGCGAAAGAAAGTTATTAGACGAAAATAATAGATTGTCCGTTTGTAGATTTTCATTTTCTGGTTGCAGTTTATTCTCAGTGACTTTTAAGCACATAATCGATCAGTACTACCAACAAATACTCGACAAGTCCCCAAAATGTACCAAACGTGACCAAACTTACCGTGTGTAACCAGCAACGTTGAACATCATATCATGACTACAGAACCGCCTGATTTTTCGAAAGTGCGGCGACTAGCCCATGGGCATCACTCTAGCAAATGTTCTCAAAAAAGGGGTGGCAACGACTGGCGTCCAACTGGTGATTATCGGCTATACAGTAAGAAAACCACTCCAGGTCGTTACCACTTGTTGCACATTTGTGACCCGACAGTTGCCTTGAAACATACAACTGATTTCTCTAAAATCGATCTGGTCAAAGCATGCAACCGAATTCCTGTGGTTGCAGGCGACATTCCCAAAACCACTATCACTAACTCTACGAATTTTAAGAGGTGCTGTAAAACTTTTCGGAGAGTCGTCGATGACTTCTTTCTCCTGACTTCGTACACGCGCATGTAAGTGACTGCTTGTCGCAAGTCTGAATATAGAATCTCACCTCCAGAGTTTGAACCTTGTTTTCGAACGACTGCAAAAGCATATCACCACTGCGAACATTTAGAAACTTCAGAATGAAACCGACTCTCTAGATTTTATCGGACACGTTGATGCTCAAGGCATCCGCTCCTTGAAAAACGAAGTAACAGCCTTTCTTGACTACCCAAAACCGACCACAGTCAAGCAATTACGTACGCTCATTTTCCTGTCAAGTTTTCGCCGACGGCTCATACGAAGTGCGCGTCTCTCATGAAACCTTTAATAGACCAACATCGTGGACATGCGAAACTCACCAATTTAGACGATAATGCAAAAAATGCATTCTCTACAATTAAGTAAATTATCTCAGACGCAACTATGCTAGTACATCATGAAATCAAAGCACCCATTAGTATAGCAGTAGGCGTATCCAGCTCGATAATCGGAGTAGTCTTATAGCAATAGGTGGACAACACCAGGTAATCCTTGGCATTCTATTAAAGAAGGTTGACAGACACTGAATCGAGGTATGATGCTTTCGGTGGAGAACCCTTAGCCACACATTGTGCTTTACGACACTTTCAACGCTTCGTGGAAGGCCGAAAATTCACTCTTTTTACAGATTACAAACATTTCACCCTCTTTCCAAGCTCGTTTTCAGGAAAGTATTCCTCTCAATAGTCTGAACGACTGGACTATATTTAGCAGTTTACTTCAGATACACAACAAATTTATGGTGCAAACAATATAGTTGCAGACGCCTTGTCTAGTATAACAGTTTCCAAGGAATCGATCTTCTTAAACTAAACCAGCTTCAAAAAGAAGACTCTGATCTTTAGCGCGAGTTAACTTCCACAACCCTGAAACTGAGTACTAAACATATGGGAAAAGGTAAGGGAACTTCACTATGCGATAGATCTACATGTAGTGATCGTTCAACCGTGCCGAAACACTACCAACATGCTGCATATCCTTTCTCATCCAGGTGTTCGAGCAACTATCAATTTAATCGCAAAACGATTTCATTGGCCTGGTGTGAGTGAAGACGTGAGGGAGTGGACACGTTACTGTGCAGACTGCTGGAAATCCAGGGTGATTAGACACAACAAATATCGCTTGGGCTCTTACAAAACTCCCGATGCTCATTCTGAACAGTTTCTTTCTGATCTGATAGAACTTTTACCAGATTCACATTGACAGTGTTACCTCTTAACGTATGCAATCGTTATCCCGAAATTGTTTTTACGCTGTTGCACTTTAGGGCAACGAATGTATACCAATGTATTTCCTTTATTCTGTTTTGTATCCTGACGCACGTACGGGTGTATTTCGAAATGTACTTATATATCCTTTATCTTTCCCAGGATGACTGGAAAAAATGGAAAACCAATGAAGATTAAGATTCATAGAAATTTTCATTTTACCTTTTTTCTCGTTACTTTATTGTACCACGTGGCCCCTTATATTAGGGAAAGACAGCCAGATGATGATGAACATAGCAAAATATCAGTCTTTACCGGCGACAAGCTCGTTGGGCTTGGAATTCTGGCTGACTACGTCGTAGGGTCATCACTATTCACTAGGAGAGAATAAGCTTTAGCGGTAAACAAATCCCAATAAACCAATGGTTCTGTAAGTCTTCGATATTGATACTGACTTCATTAGTTTTGCTGGACTCACTCTAGCTGATGGCACTCAGTTACGCATCCGCATCAGATGACGAGTGAATACGTCGTGCTACGGGTCCCCTGAAACTATCAGCCAGCTTAGACCAAACGCTCCCTGATATATCGGTAGCTTGCCGAGTCCACCTTCGAACCTCTTAGTTTCTGACTTCTGATATGACTGCGTGATATACTTCGATTATAATGGTATTACGTGTAATGTCGTTGTCAAACTTTGAATAATTACGGCATCTTCAGTTCCATTACATAAACTTGTCCAACACATTGTTTACATATTCGCTCAGGTATTTCCTTGTCGCGTTTGCTGGTTCGTCTTTTTATTAACCTCACCAACTTAGTATCTCAATCATAAACGCTTTTTGTAAGTTATCG